GCATTCGGGGACAAGTTTCTGAGCACAGGGGAAGGTTCCGTCGGTCAATTCCCGGAAACCTGTTGGAATAAAATCAGACGTTGGAAGGTATGGAATGGAACGAGACTTACGACGTTTCAGCTGCCCCCAGACCATCTCAATTGGATTGAGTTCGCAATGAAACTTGGGGAGGAAGACACATTTGTGGCCGGCTTTCTCGATGATGAGCTGCAACAAAGGTTTTTCATCGCGAAAGTCAGCTTGGAGGGAAAGCACACGCTGCATGCAGCAGTCCGAGTCCCGTTCGAGGTCAGCGTCCTCCATCTCCGAAACGCCACGGCCACCAAGGCTCCCGATACCAGATTCAACCTCGTCCTCCTTGGATTTGGCATCCTTCATTGCCTTCTCGCGCGCAGCCTGCGACAATTTGCAGGTCTTGCACACGCCGACAACTTTCTTACCGTGTTTCGCCTCGAGAACTGACAGTAAACCGCGCTCACGGAGCACTTGCTCCATCCCCTTCGGCTTCCCTGCCAGCGGAGTACCATCGTCAGCAACACCGTTGTAGTCGTCCGGGAAGTTCATGGACTGCGGTTCGCCTGTTGCCGGAATAACAGTGTCCCGCATTCGAGGCTGCTTACCGCCGGACCCACGGTTCATCTTGTGGGCTTGCAGCGCATCAGAAGCGAATGCTTCGTGTGCTGAAGAACAGTCAAAGATGAACACCGCGATGCCGTTGGGGAATTTAACATTGAAGATTTTGATTGCGTCTTTGATCTAGTAAATCATGAGTAAAATTTGCGACAGAGCCAGAAGTCGCACCTGAGCAATTAGCTGCGGCATGTCCCACCACGGGTCGTAGTTCGCGCCTGGATAGATTATGCGATCAGCGTCGAAGCTGGGGATTTGGTAGGCAGTATGTGGTGCTGGAGGAGGAGGCGGGACCCAGTCATTCTCTGCGTACGTGCGTCCCTGTGTCGGCGCTGCTGCCGCTGAGTTCTTCGCCTTTGTGCGGCCTTTAGTGGCTTCTGACATCGGTGTTTCAACCTGGATCTTTGGATGTTACCCAGGCACGATATGAAATAACAGAGAACATTACCACGACTGGAGTTTTCTTCGCCTTTCCGCGCCGCTTTTTGGCAGGTGCAGCAAGGGGTGCTGGCTCGATGGATGGTGTCGGATCAACGACACTGTTCGCAGCAGGGACTGCTAGAGCAGGTGCGGACGGTGCAGCTGGTGCAGCCGCAGCGGGAGGAAGGGGCTCTTTTGGGAGGAGAAGTTGTGCCTGTATCTCGGCCTCCGTCAAACGCAGATGGCCGCAGTTCTCTAAAATAAGCGAGGACAGGTGCACAATTCGGCCTCGGCTCTTGTTGCGGAGAGGCTGTTCACCCTCGCGCAACCACTCGAAGTTGACCTGACAACTCGTGTAAATGCCGACGCAAATGGGAACATGAAAGATTAGACTTACCTGATCATTCGCGTGAACGCAACATTCATCGTGCGAGATTGGGTAATGTATCTTCTCCCCCTCTTTGAGCTCCGGGGCGATTTCTTCGAGAGACTCGCCGTCGTATTTATAACAGAAGCTGACCAAAAGAATGAGTAAAGTCGAAAATAGACAGAGCGCACTAACGGGAAGACATGAAGCCATAAATACTCAAGAAGCTTTTCCCGACTCTCAACCACATCCGGGCGTTCATGCCCGTCAACGTAAACACCCTTTTGAACACGAGCAAGGCGGAATCCGAGTCGTTTAAGCCATCGAACAGCTGTCGTCTCGCTAATTGTCGCCTCAATCTTGAGTTCCGGAAGGAGGAACTCGTTGATGTATCGGCGCATTTTAGCGGGTCGCATCTGGCCAAAAGAAGATCAGTGTCGTCCCAGGGTTGAAGGATTGAATCGAATCTCACGCGGCCCACGAATCCTCCCTTTTCGACCTCCAAAGTGCCTTTGACCCACTCTTGAAGGGCCTCACGGATGGCGGGGTTGAGCAGAAGGGATTCGTGGTGAGCACCTTTACCCTGCTCATTCTCCGGGAGAACACCGTGAGCCAGAAGATGGTCGGCCATCTTGCGAATAGACCGAGCATAGTACGGGCCTTTTCCGCAGCGATGGGAGACAGCCAAACTGGCCTCGTGCCTCGGGTTGCACCCCCGAATCTTCTTCTTGATTTGTGGAATTCTTGCGCGAGTAGCAGATGAGAGACTCTTGATTAGTTTGAGTCGTTTGAGGGCCAGTTCGAAAGACTTGTCGTTGAATTGACTCAGCGCCTCGAGATCCATTACCGATGAAGCCGCTTTGGCGTTCGTAAGAATGGCGGCTTTTCTTGTGAGTTCTGCACGATTCTTCTTGATGAGTTTCTGGAGGCGTGCATGAGCCGCCCTGATATCTGCCTCAGTATCTGCGGGTAAGGTAACCACGGTCGGAGCAACGACTGGTGGACTTGGGTCAACCAAATGCGCCCCAGGTTCAGTTGACTGTGCGGCGGCGGCGTTCGGTTCAGCCACGGGTACGTCCGGTACCGCGGTCTCAGCTGCATTCGACGCGGCAACTGGCGCCGGAGGGGCACCATCGAGAACAACATCATCGGGAAATTGGTGCCCATCGACAGCGGGAGAAACCTGCGTTGGAAGTTGAGCAGTCAACCATGCAGCCAGAAAAATAAAGACCTCAACGACAGGTTCAAGCGGTTGGACAGGGCAAACCGCAGCCGCCTGCAAGAAAGATAAGCAACACAGAGATAAGTTACCGCGACATTATTTACCTCTGATGTAGCTTCGATTTCGACGCCTTGAAGAGACGGTGCATCAATCATCTGTCAAGTCAGATGAATCCACGAATACCCAGACGACCGGTTCACACTTACTTCGATATCGGAATCGGGTTCCTCGGACTCTTCGCGCACCGCAACTCCAGAATTCTTGCCTTTCGGAGCAACCTTGAGTATTTTTAGTCATGTGTACGCAATAAAATTGGTCGTGCTCCCAACCTTGAAGAATGTTGACACACTTGGCTGCATCTTCTTGGCCCGAGCTTTTTTGGTTTTATTTGTGTCCTCCCGCCATGCCGTTGTGCGTGGTTTTTTCTCACTTTCACGGGCGGGATGAAGGTCTGCATCTGGGTTTTTCCGCTTCAAGCCTGAGGTAGATGATGTGGCGACCGGAACGAGGGACTAGAAGAGCTTAGTTTGTCAAGGTGGGACTGTAAAATGGGCATCACGCACAGGGCCTTCTGATGCGCCGTCATCAGAGTCGGATTCGGGCTCAAAGCTCGGGTCACTTCCGAGGGTGGGGTCTATCGGCAGTGGGAAGGGCACGGGCTCTTGTCTTTTGGTAGCCTCGCGATTGGCTGCTGCCTTCTGTTTTGTGGTCTTTCGGGCCATCTTCCGCGGGACGAGCGCGCAGGAGACGTGACGTTTCTGATGAGAAAATTTGAAAATGTTTGGCTGGGGCCTCAGATAGGTACACACAAAAAAAATTCCGCCGGCCGAAAAAGTGAAACACCGTGGGAAAAAATGAGATTTTGGTGCCAAACGCATTCTTTTGGCCGGTTTCGTGGCTCAGAAAATCACAAAAAATCTACAAAAATTGATTTTGCCCTCAAAAACACGTGCAGAGATGTCATGGTGGGCACTGTAGTAGCACTTGGAGGCATAGCAGACACGTACGAAGTACGAGGTACATTCACCAAGGATATTAGCCGGGGACGATCAGATACGAGGAGGTTGCTTTTGTTTAATTTCCATCCGCCCAACGCCCTGAGCACTGCGCCGATGCTTGAACTCGGTATCAGTGACAGTTGAGGATCAACAAAAAAAGACGCGCCTTCAAGAACCAGTGCATCGGTGTTGAGATGCGAGGAAAACGAAGTACTTCACGACAACAAAAACATGATTGGCGGACTTTGTATTCGGACGCGGGGAGTCGAACCCCGGGCTGCTAACTCCGAGTCGACGGAAATGCATTCGAGACATACACGCTCGCTGTGCGCCGCGCACCACGTCCGATTTCCTCAGTGAATTGAGTGGGTGAGTAAGGAGCCTAGAGGAAAGGTAAGTGGCAGAAACTTGGTGAATATTATATGATCATCCCTCTCACCGCACTGTACCGTTTGAAGCGCCGGTTGAAGTGGAAATAGCCGGGTTGAATTTTGTGTGTATAGACATGTAGCGTGCGGAGTCGGCCGTTGGAAGGAGATTGGAACACATGGACCGAAGAAAAAGGGTCGGTCCTACGTGTCTTCCGCGTCATTCGGACGCGGGGAGTCGAACCCCGAACGACGATCTTGGCACGATTTCGATGGAGTAAGCTGTGCACCGTGCACGACGTCCGATCTCTTGGGTTGAGATGCTACAGTATGAGTGAGTGAAATTAGTACTTGGTGGCATAGCAGACACGTACGACGTAAGTACCAGGTAAGTTGGCCAAGCAGACTACTAGCCGGGGACGATCGGATACGAGGAGGTTGCTTTTTGTTTCCTTCTGCCCTACGACCTGAGCAGTACACCTACGCTCGAACTCGGTATGAATGAAAGTTGAGGATCACGGAAAGAGAAACGCACGCACGTTCAAGGTTCAGCGCATCCGGGTTGAGATGCGGGAAAAAACGAACTACTTTACGACAGCAAAAACATGTTGGCGAAGTTTGTATTCGGACGCGGGGAGTCGAACCCTGAACTGCGAAATTGACAGAATTGCGTTTGAGATATATGCGTTCGCTGTGCACCGTGCACTGCGTCCGATTTCCTCAGGAGGAGGAGGAGGAGGATGTATTATAACTCAGTGGATTGAGTGGGCAAGTAAGATTCTAGAGGAAAGGTAGATCACGTATCAGCACGCACCTGTGAATGGATAAGTATGCACCTCACCGCAAAGTGCCGCTTGAACCGTCTGTTGGGCAGTATGTGTCAGTTCTCTGCAGATGGCTGAGTGGCTGATGCAGAGAGTCGTACCGTTCTGCGTCGGCCGTTGACCAAACATTAGAAGGCATTGACCAAGAAAAAAATGTGTGCCGCCGACCTATTCGGACGCGGGGAATCGAACCCCGGACTGCGTGTTCAGCATCAATAATCTCATAAGAATACTCGCTGTGCCCCATGCACTACGCCCGGATGGCTGAAACACCACGCGTCGACTGAAGTTGAAGCGAGCTAGCAAAGGTGAACAACATTGACTAGCGCCCCGCTGCGCGCGACTTCGTCGCAAGTCGGAAAGTTTGCGGAAAGTAGTAGCCGTGTAATGTTTACATTGGATTCGGTTTTCGACCAATCTCGCGGGGGCGGAAGGAGAAGATTGAATTCAAGACGAGCAAGGAGGAGAATTTCGAAATAATGGTCTTCGTGGTTCGAGAGCAAGAGGTTTCGCGTGGCTGTGTCGCCTGCCGAATGAGTGATTGATTGATCGATGGCGGCCGACTTGCTTTTCTCTCTGCCATCTCGTCCATCGTCCTTACTCCTGATCATCCCCAGAACGCGGAAGACGCGAACACGAGTAGTGTAGACGATGGTGTAGACGATGAAAGCGGCGACCAGGAACTCGAAGTAGATTGGATTGGGATTGGCGTTAGATAACAGAGGCTTCAAGTTCGTGGCTATCGACCATAGGTACGCAGTCTTCTTCTCTTGTCCTAATACTTCTCCACCGGTAGATTATGGCGCTGACTGACGCCCCCACAGACTCTCTTTCTGCTTATACCTTGACGAGGGTCACTACGACGGATCGTTGCACACCATCGTGCCAATCCGAGGCTCTGCCAATGGATTGTGTTGCCGCATCTGTGCATCCCACCAGTAATCGTGATTCACTTAGCCAACGCCCGCAAGTGTCGACGACGCAGGCCGAGAATCTTCGTCGATCCATAGACCTTGCGCCGCGCTGGCAATGCGCATCCCCAGAATCAAGCGCAGCAGGCTCGACCATGCGCGCCCTGCTGCATCTTTGTGGCATATACCACTGCCACCTACGTCCAAACGCAAAAAGCATAGCTATCCCGGGAACGGGGTACGTCGCACGGTCGCCGTAATGGCCCCCAGCCCCCCGCCGCGCGCAGTTTTCTCGCGGTACCGTTTGCGCGCGCTCACGATCAGCGTGGTATCGATGCTGGGCCACGTCTGCTGCACGCCCTCCCCGGCCCTCCTTCTCGGATCTTGGATGCCGGATACACCACGCGCATACACCGATCCACACTGGCACGCCTCCAAACCTCAAAATCTGCAGCCCCGTCGGCTGCTGCGTCTCCATAGACATGGCGCACGGACGCATCTTACCCGTATAACGGCCGACGCATCCATCAAGCATGCGTATGCGTCCTATCGTGCTAACCAAACACAAACCCACAAAACGCGCATGGGGATTCCTGCCGCTCTTCTTGGCCACCGCCGCAGGCTGAGGCCCTTGCCCGCAGCCTCACTCTTGTCGACCGGAGCAACGACGCAATCGCCCCATCGTGTCGATTCCTCATTATGGGTGTCGATACTCGGCTCGCGCTGTGCGCTCCCACCCCCCGACCGCTACCCTGAGCGGTCGTATCCCCGGCACTGCGATCTCCGCCTCTCAAGATCTCAAGTGTGTCGCCGTATCAATAACCCGCCCGCCGCCATATCACGGCCCGCATCGTTACCCGCCCTCTTCGCGCGAACGGACTGCGCAGGCCCTGGTCCCGATTCGCCGCCCGCGCGCCCCGCTGGTCCACTGCACGCGCACGCGTCCTCGCGTCCGCACGCAGCCAAGGAGAGAGCGACGTCGCGCCCGTATTCGGCAGGGAGCAGCCTCCACGTCACGCAGCTGACACAATCTCCGTATCTTCTTGCCATACCTCGCTGGCCGCGCGCGCCTTTTCTCCGCGCCGATACGAATCCCGTCTATGTTCCACATCGTCGGCGCCTCAGCGCCGTCCGCACTCGACGTTCAGCGCATTGCGCTCAGGCCGCTCGTGCAGATCGCGGCCGCGCTATCTTCTTGCACATGTCTGCACGCACCGGCCGCGCACCGCACCCAGCACGTACCGTCTTTGCATCTACGTCCACTTCTCCGCCCTCAGCCGCCGCCGGAGTTTGGGACTGCGCGAGATGCGGCATGATGCGGCATGCTCATCCCCGCCGATAAGTGCGTCCCGCTGCGGGCTAGATCTTCGCGGTATCGGCGTGCGGCGTGCTCGCCATCGCTGCGCACGTCGCCCCCAACGACATCCGCTGCCCGACGTCGTCTACGCAGCACGCACGACAATCGTCTGCACCCGCCGGATATACATATCCAGCGCGCTATCGTCGCCTGCCCAGTCTTCGACCCATCCCCGCCCTCGAGCCGCGCCGCATGCCCACCGTATCGCCTCCCCACCTCGCGACTTTATTCGTGCTAGCGCGCACACCACTCATGCGTCCGTTCTCCCGCCATCCACGTCGGCGGTCGTCTGCGCACTCGCACGAGTCATTCCCGAACCCGTCCCTGAGCGGATCCCGCGTCCACGCCTCTCTCACCGAACCCCTCCTCGAGCGGACCCGCATCCCCCGCCGCCCGGCCTTATACTTGAACCTCGATTCTGCACGCGCTCTCGCTATATCACTCCATATCGCCCCCCATCCCCGCCGCGTGCATCCACTCTCGGATGGCATGGCAACGCTGGTTATGAAGCTCGCGCGGACGACGCGCAGAGGCAGCGGGAACAAGGGGAGGGGAGAATGGGGTGCAGATGATTGGGAAGGCGGAGAGGGCGAGGGAGGGCGTCCAGATGATATGGAGGCTCGAGGGAAGGGAGGGCGGGACGCGGAGGGAGGCATACGGGCCGCGCATACGATTGAGAGCTTGCTGCGTTACTCTGCGTGCGTCACCTCGTCTAGCACTTCCTCGTTCTCCGTTCTCATTCACCATCCTCGCAGGCTCCCAAACCTTCGCGATCCTCGACGTCGGGACGTCTGGATACGCAGAGTAGTGCTGGAGATCGGGAGCCGTGCTGTGTATCTCGTGCACGGTGCGTCTCTTTTCTCCGTATTCTTCGCATTGCAGGCACTGACGCCCACCCGCACGTAGATCTCTGCCTCGCGACTTGTCCCCCGCGCCTTCGACGCTCAGACATCAGGCTCTCGATGCCCCGTTCCGCCGACCCACCATCGCCATCCACCAGTGCCCGCGGCCACCACGTCCCACACACGGTACGTCTCTTTCTCCTTCGTCTTTCTTCCAGGTTATTGCGATATACTGATCTAGTCTCACTCAGCTCGTCTCGGTCGCGCTACTTTCTCTTCAAGGTGTTGTGTGATCGAATGGAGACGGAGACTGTATGCGCGTCGCTGGGAAAGAAAAGGAGGCTGTGTCTGTGCGTGCATACATATAATCTGTCCACCGCGCGCGCTGACTGACGCCAGCATCCTCAGATCTACGTAATTGTCTCGTTCTCGTTCTCGGTCGCTCCGCCCTCGTCGGGCAGAAATCCCATGTCTCGAGATCGTGAATCCGCCGCGGAGGAGGGACTAGTCTACGTCCGCGTCGGACGAATGATTCTAATCAAGGAATGACGGTCTGCATTCTGGGCCTTCCCGGTGCGTTTCTCTTCCTCGTCCTCGTTCTCAATCCCATCCTCCTTCACATCCCATCCGTCCCCCCTCTTGTCCCTCTCCCCCCTCATACTTCGACCCCACGGTCCCGCTCCGTCACCCACTCCCCGTCCCTCTGCTCCTGCGGCCTGCGCGCTGACGTGTTGTCTAGGTCGATATGAGCGAAGAAGATGCTCACCACCCATTTCCGTTTCCGCCGGCCGTATTCGAGATCGACTCCGTTCCTCTCTCCCTCTCCTCTCCCCTCCCGCGTCCCCGTTTATTCTGGCCCGCTCCACCATCACCCTCACCCCTCCCTTCATCCTCCCTTTCCTTTCCCCTCTCGCTCCCGGCTCCCTCTCCTCCTCCCCTTTAACTTCACCTTTACCGCTCCCTCCGTTCTCCCTATTGCTCCCTGTACCCCGCGCTCGCCCACGACCTCCTCCCTCTCCCGCCCCCGCCCCCGGTCCCGGTCCCGGTCCGGCTCCCCGTGGCGTGTCCCTCCTTTCCCTATGTTCTCCCTAACCCCCTCCTTCTCCTCGTCCGTCTTTATCCTTCCGTCTCCTTCTTCCTACGTGTACCTTCTCCCTCCCCTCTCCCCTCCCCTTCCCCTTCCCTCGCTCCCCGCGCCGCCTTCCGCCTTCCTCAATCACCCTCCACCTCCCCTCTTTTCGCTGATCTTGAGACTTGCCAGGAACGCCGCATGCACTCGTCCAGATAGTAGGACTTGGGAAGCTGCGCAGCGAGGGTGGGGCGAGGGGACGGGGATGGGGATCTGAGGGAAATGCGGATGTGCGTGGTGGGGAGATGCAGCGCGCGGCGGTGGATTCGCGAGCGGGGATGCGTCGAGTCTGTAAAATGCATGGGGCCCGCGGATGGTCCATGCTCATGCCCTAATGATGGAGGAGGGATGGCTGGAGGCGGCCCGAGCGCACGCGTAGCGGCTCTAGGCGCGGATTCGTGCTCGCCGTACCGGGGAGGCAACGTGAGGAGACGGTGCGGCGCGCGTGCGAAGCGATGAGGGATCGGGGATGGCGGGGAGGCTGTCGTGCTTACTTGGTGCGGGCGATCCCGAGGATGATGAGGGGGGCTGCGCGGGGAGCTACGTCTGCTGGTCGATGCCGTTGCCGATGACGTTGTGTAGGAGGTGGCTCGAGGCGTATGGATACGGAAAGTAGCGGACTGTGTCGGCTATGGGCCGGATACAGATGCGGGGGCACTTGGCGCTCTCGTTGGGTGTTACGGGCGAGGATGAGTTGTGGAAGGTTGGGGAGGTGCGAGCATGCCGGAACACTTGGGCGGCGTGTGGGGCCCAACCCACTTGCGTGAGCTCCGGCGCGGATTTTGGGTTCCAATGTCACTGTCCTGCGAGTGCTGCGCGCGACTGCGGGGATGCGTGGATGAACGGTCAGCCTATGGGTGATGAAGTATCGGATGCTCGGGGAGGCCAATGGATGGAAGTCTCGCCGATGGCGAGTGCGAGTGCGTATGGCTCGGAGATTCTGTCATGGTGCCGCATGCGCATGCGCGGGGAATACTGCAAGGTGGACGACCGTGCACCGCGGGCTGCTGAGGAACACGCG